TCTGACTGTTTCGCAATCAAACCCAGCGTGTCTTTCAGAGCTGGAAAACAAAAGCGTATGATGGCGGTGGCAGTAACGTGACAATTCAATGTCTGTAAGAGCAATCAGAGAGAGTTCCGCCTGTCCAGACAGACTTTTGAAAGAAATTGGCTGTTAGAAATCAATAAGCTGATGTTCACCCCATCTACGTTGTGATGCAGCGTTTGGAGGCTCCAGGTTCAGAGTGACGCTACAGAACGAGGGGCTCCCGAAGGGGCTGGGCACGGAAGCCCATCCACACCGCAGCACTCGACCACTACAGCCCCTTGGGTGACTGCAGCTGCAGCCCACCCCTTAGAAATCAGGTTTCTGGAATTCTGGTTTTTAGAAATGCGGGATGCAGCACCTCACCCGAGCGACTGCCCCACGCGTGCCGCTGTCCCCCCACGTTGGCTGCTGACACCCGCCCGGGATGCCCCGAGCGCAAACGGGGTGCGACAATCACCCCCTCCTGCCCGGAACGAAAGCATCTCCTCCCAGCTGCAGGCCAAGAGCCCCCCACAGCCCAGCGGGAGCTGCCCACGCCGCCGTTAAGATAAAAACCTACGGGACCCAGAAGAGGCAGAAACCCCTCCGTCACCACGAGGGATGGCATGGCGCAAGGGAAGGGTCAAGGTGTGGTGCAGCTGAAAGCGCTCGGGAGCAATTGCTTCAAACCTCCGGGTCGCCTCACCTCCGCATCTCGGGGCAGCGACGGGGAGGTGTAAAACCCTTTTTCGTTCCCATACAGCTGCTGAATGGCAACCTCTGCCCACCGCTTCCCCACCCTCCCACACGTGGGGCCAGGGATTTCGGGGGGCAGACACCACGGCCAGCATCACCGGCCGTGTCCACGACCAGCCCCGCTCGAGGGCTTCACCTCACCTGGCGAGTTCGACGCCATGCAGTCGAGGAGAGCTTCTCCCCTCTCCAGCACGCTCTCCGTCAGGCTCCGGTGGTTGGCCACGTCTTTCCTGAACTCCTGGGAAGGAAAGGAGAAGAGGAGCGCTGCTTAGGAGGGTTTTTGGAAGTGACGCACCTGCAGCAGGTCACCCAGGGGGCAGTTTTCCCTGAGAAGGTTCCTGGTGCTCCCAAATTCAGCTTTGCACACCCGATGCACCCCATATCACCCACCTGGACCGTGCCAGCGGTGCCTTGCTGCCTGCAGCACCGAAGAGGGGGAAGAAAAGCCAATGGCAATACCTACCAAGTAGCGGTGCAGCGATGCCTTCACGCTCTCGGTGTCCGGCGAGGGTGGTACCCAGCTGTCGGTGATGTCCGCGACGTTGTACAGCCAACGAATTAGCTCTTCCAGCTGGCAGCAAAACATCTACTTAACAAAGCACAACAAAAGGGGTTACTGATCTATTTCTGCAACAAAGACACGGCAGGGACAGGAATGGGCGAGCCAGCGGTGTTTCGGACACAAACATCCCTAAGCTTGGGAAACGGAGGGTCAAGAGAAAAAGAAAAAAGGCAAAAAACAACTTTAAACACAGCCCAAACCCCCTGTGCTGCAAGAATTGAGGGTCACCATGAAATGGCTGCTACGGAGAGGTGTCCCAGGGGCACCCAGGCTGAAGGAAGGGGTTTGCCTCCCCCACCTCCCAGACGAAGAGACACCCTCCTCCTCACCAGGGCCACACAGTTAATTTGCAGTCGCTCTTCCCCAAGGGTTCGTCTCGCTCAATTAAGTGCTTTCATTTATTTTTAAAGTGTCTCGGTAAGGGATTATTTTTGTAAGATGCTGCACAGAACCCAGGGGCCTCTGCTCTCACCGAAACCAGAGTTCAGCCCCACTCCTGCTCCTCGGGAGTCCGGGTTTTGCTATAAAGCTGAGCTGCTTCTCCCTGGCACGGCGATTTGGGGCGATCGATAGATGCGCCCTAACGCCGACAGCAGAAATCAGCAGAGTTACCCCCACACAAGAGGAGGGGATGACTTACACTGGTGTTTGCAGCTATGTGCACGATGATAATAACAACTCTCTTGCAAACAGCCCGGCATCACTTCCAAATTCAGCCCGGGGCTCGGGTGGGGAAGGCGGCGGAGGGGAAGGCAGGGAGCAGTCCCCGCTGGCCGGGGAGCACGGCCACGGA